ATTTTGTTCCTTCTCGTCATTTTGTGTAGCACTGTCCTCTGCCCTTTGTTGTAGATCTTTGCTGTAGTTATAACCTTCACACGTACTGCAGTTAAGGTGGAGCTCTACAGAGTTTGGACTTATCCAGCTGCGTCTGGATTACTTCTGGCTGCTGTGCTCAGCTCCTTCCCACTGTGGACCAGGGCTAGGACTGGGTCTGGGCGTTCCCGGAACTCGGCAGAAATTCCGGACCTGGGCTAGGACTGGGTCTGCTGAGCCCCACTTTCTAACAGCACATTCAGCTGTGAACTCATCAGTGAATTAATCCATTGATGAAGTTATTGTCTTCTTTGGGGGCCACTTTACTTTTAAATTTTTTTAACTAAAAATCTTTATTAGTACATGTTTATGGCACCTGGTTACATACATCATGGAGAGTTGGTACACGTATTTAATACATCTTAATTCTAGGGGATACTTTATATTTAAATCATAACAGACACTAGCTAGGCTTGGTGGTACACTCCTGTAATCCCAGCACTCAGGAGGCTGAGGCAGGTGGAATACCGTGAGTTCAAGTCCAACCTAGACTACATAGTGAGACTCTGTCTCAAAAAACAAAACAAGGGCTGGAGAGATAGCTCAGTAGAATAAGCGCCTGCCTGGCAAGTGCAAGGTCCTGAGTTCAATCCCCAGTACCATAACAAACAAACAAACCAAGAAAGATTATCTCCAAAGAAATTCTCCGTTTGATATAAGACAGAGAGGCATCTTTGCAGATAGCAATTTATGTTTTGCTTTTTGACTAAAAACAAAGAGGACAGACAGCTACTGGGCTCGCCTCTTTTTTTGTAGATGAGCTCCAGACTCCCGAGGATGCAGGAAGGCATGGGGGTCCGACTCCATGCGTGCAAGTCTCTTCCCCCCTGCGCTGTGGCGCTGCCACATGACACTGCATGAACCGTTCCCTCCAAGCCTATTTGCCTCCCCGCTGCTGTTTTGAGCCATTGCTTCCCACAGCGAGGTTCCTCGGGGAGGGCAGGCGCAGAGTGAGGCAGTGTGGCCCCTCCCCCCAGGACCAGGCCAGGCTTTCAGAGAGGCCAGAGGAGCAGAGATTAAGATGATTGAGCCGAGCGAGGTGTGTGGGAGATGAGTCATAAAGCCCACTCCATGACCTGGCGGGAACTGCATGAGAAAGTAAATACACGTTTCTATCCTCCTCTGCGTTCTGCATCCTGTGTATTTCTCATCCAATGATGAAATGGTTTCACCTTGGTCATGAATCATACCAGGCGTTCTAGACACTGCAGATATAAATTGGGGGCTTGGAAATGTTTCTCTAAACTGTAATCTCAATTGAAATCTGGTTCTTAACCAACAGAAATCATGGGGAGTGTGGAAAACGAGCCAGAATTTGCATGTTAATCTTCCCTGGGCCTCTTCTCACTGGAAAACAGGCAGCTTTTTCTTTATTTCATAGCTTTTGGTGGACTCCACTTAATGGATTACTTAGGAACTTGTACTGCAGCTGTCTTGCTAGAAGGCCCCCAGCCCCCCAGGTGCTCCTTTGAGTGTCACAGGCTGGTGTGAGAGGCCCTGACTTTGGCGAGAGAATTCAGACAGAAAAAAGCAGGCGAGAGGTTGGAGGCGCCGCTGCTCCAGCTCGTGCTGCAGCTTTATCTGAATAGTTCAGTGCTTTTACCAAGCACAACGGGGAGTTCTGATTCTTCTCTCCAACAGAGTGGTAGATTGCAATCATTGAGAAAAGAACTTGGTATTCTCAGACTTTTTTCTTTATCAAGTATAAGCTGAAGGAACAGGCCTCATTCAATAGGGTATCAGCTCCCCTCAGAGACAGACAGCCCCAGAGAAGATTTGAAATGGAAATTCTTATGCAAGTGAATTTCAGTTAATTTTATGGGTTCCCGATATTTAACTTTGCCACATCACTTGACCATTTGGACCTGTAGGTGGAAATTCTGACCTATTTCATCTTTTCTATAGAAAATGGAAACGACATCATAGGAAAGGGGGCTATATAGCAGGAGAAGCCTTTATTTTTGGCAAACCGACCTTCTTTTCCACTCTTCCTCAAGGGGTATTTGCCTACAGATGACTCTATTGAGTCCCAGCCCTTCTGCTAGGGTGGAGGGAAGCCAATTTATAGGGACAAGGAAGAGTAAGGACGATAGTATGACGGGGCGGAGAGGAATGTGTCTGGTCACACACACACAGGAGCACCTCAGGAGACTGCCACCAGAGGGGCAGTTTGACCTCGGCACTCCTGAGGAGGATCTCAGGAGCACAAAGGCGGGCGCAGCTTCCTCACACTTGCCCCTGGGTCTCTGGAGAAAGCTGAGCAGTTCGAGGAAGACAGATGGGCTGGAGGGAGGGAGTGGGGACAGGGTGCTGAGATGCCTAGAATACACCCCACCAGCTCCTCTGGACCTCTCAATCCTGGCTCTCACCTCTGTACAGCCTCCTTACTGGGGTCTCGGACCCTGGCAATGGGGAATCAGTGGGCAGTGAGAGTAGAAAGCCTGGGCAGAGGAAGTGGGTTCTGGGGCAGTTTCTTTATACAAGGAAGATCATGGGGGTGCTGGTTGAGAAGAGGGGATTCTTTCAGCTTTCCAGAAGTCCACTCTTCTCCATGATTCTACTTCCTCACCTAAAAGTGGAGCCCAGCCTGCCCGAGGGGTGAGGAGAAATGACAGGGCATCGCTGAGGCTCTGACATGCAGCACTGGGTGCTTTGCCTGTGGCTGAGCCCTGCCCTCTCCTCATCACGGTGGTAGAGGGAGGTTTTCCTTCCTATGGCTCTCCAGTTTCTCCTGGAGCTTGCTGCCTTCCTCACAGGCCCACAGAAGAGCTGTGGTCACTTTCCCCATTGGAAGATACCTAAGGACCCACTGCTGGGGGGCTCTGAGGAGGTCCAGAGGGTGTCCTCTGGAGCCAGGTGGCCAGGGTATGAGTCCTGGCTGTGCCCCCATCCTCTGCCTGCAGTACATTGCCCTTTCCCAGACTGGTGAATACTCACAGCTTCCCAAACTTTGGCTTAGTGGTCTCTAGCTCTGGACTGTCCCCTGACACCCAGGGTCCCACAGCCAAGCAGCAGGGACTTTCTGTGACACTCTGCCTCCTTCCTACTTTGACCACTGCCTCCATGGATTGAGAGGAGGGGCTCAGATGCAGTGTGGAATGAGAGGACGAGAGGGAGGGGAGGTGGAGGGAGAGAGTGGGAGCCAAGCTGCACACCTGGGTTGTAGGAGGGCTGGGTTCGCACATTCCCTAAGGGGCCACCACCCCTCTCACCAGTCTGAGGAGAGCTGCCCTGGGTCCGCCCTCTGGCTCCACCATGTGCTGTAAGGGACAGGCAGGGGAGGGTGGTACACAGCTGCCCTCTGGAAAGTCCTCCCCCCAGTAGCACCTCTCTTTGGGAGCTCCCATTTGGTTTATGGATGCTGCACGACTGGAGCTTGGCTCCAGTTATTTTGCTCAACAAGCTCCATGTCCCAGCCCTTGACATTCTCTGGCACCTTGGAAAAGCTGTGTGGTCATAACAACCTCCTCCCCCATCCCACACAGAATTGCTAAGGCGGTTGCCAAGGAAACACAACTGTAACCAAGACAATAGGAGGCTGAGAGAGACCCTGGCAGGCTCTGAGGACTCACAGGACCACAGGAGGATGACGGCCTCCAGGATACATGGCAGTGTGGGAGTCATGCTTGGATTTTGCACAGGTCATTTCAGTCCCTCCAAAACCATGAGGTAATGAAGACCACCTTGATGCCATGAAGGCGGGGAGAGATGGAACAACTGTACTGAGGTCACTTAGCACACAGGTGCCAGTCTGTATTCAGACACAGATCCCTTCCCCGTCCCCTCAAGACTGCATCCCACCCCACCTTGCCCAGAAAGATGGTGGGTGGGATCCAGAGGATAAGGACAGGACTCACCTTCCTCCTCCAGGCCCTTGGGTGGAGGGCTCATGCTCAGCAGGACTCCTGAGGTCTCCAGCCAGGCTCACGCAGTGTGCTCAGCCATGCACACTTCCAGACGGGAGTGCATCCCTGGCCTCATGGTGGCCAGCCTTCCCTCCTGGTCCCTGAAAGCAGCTGAGCTCCTTGGCTGGAGGCTGGAAGTGAGGTTTGGGACAGAGACAGGAAAGAGGCACATCAATCCGGCCACACACTTCTCTGCTCGGGTTTCCCTGCTGAGGGCCGTGGAGCCTCCTATTTCAGGTATCGCTTACATGTGAGGGGCCCCTGCAGGACAAGGAGCTGCAGGCTGCTTCCTGGCAATGACACCACTTGCACTCCAGCCAAGGGAGGTGCGAGCTGCATCCCAGGGCTCTTTCCCAGTACCCTCTGATTGGGAACTGGGGCAAGGCACCAAGGCAATTTCAGGATGTCTGTGCAAGAGGTCACCTGGGCTTCTATTTAAGATATGGATTCCCAATACAGTACTGGGCATTTGGACCTGTAGGTCTTAGAGGTGCCCAGGAATCTGTCTGTGCCCGAGTCCTGAACTCATCTGGTGGCTGTCCTGTGGACCAGCAGCCACTCCCTCAGCTGCTTTCCCACTGCTGCCTGATTTTAGGGACGGCAGAGTTGAGTGCTTTGAAAACTATGCCAGGGTTGCAGAGGGGCCCTCTGGATGAGCTCACAGGTCTCAGAGAGAGCAAGATTCTTTCTTTTTTTTTTTTGGCAGAACCAGGGATTGAACTCAGGCCCTTGCACTTGCCAGGGAAGCGCTTATTCCATAGAGCCATCTCCCCGGCCCCAAGAACAACATGGGCTTTCTGTAACTCCCAGCATGGTGCCTGGAATAATTTTGTGGTAGGAAAAAGAGTATCTTGTCTAGGCTTTTACTGAAATTTAGCAATTTTTGTCAGTTATGAATGTAGACAAAAATGTGTGATTTTTGTCCCAATAGAAGTCAGAGGTAGCTGAGCATGGTGGAGCATGCCTGTCTTCCCAGCACTTGGAGACTGAGGCAGGAGGATAATGGCAAGTTCGAGACTAGCCTGAACTACAAAGTGAGCTCAAGGCCAGTCTGAACTGCATAGCAAGACCCTGTCTCAAAAAGAAAAGAAAGGAAGAAGGAGTAGGAGGAGGGGGAGGATGAGGAGGAGGAGGGAGAGGGGGAGGGGGAGGAGCAGGAGAGAGAGGAGGTGAGAAGAGGAGGGGAGGAAGAGGAGGAGCAGGAGGGGAAAGGAGGAGGGGGAGGAGGAGGAAGAAAGGAGGAGGAGACGACGACGCAGGCATTTTTCTGCATCACTTTAAACTATTGGGGATATCTCACAATATCATTTATTCTTACCACTACTTTAAAATTACAGACCTGACACTAGATCTTGTTATTTAATTACTAGGAAGCACATATGTCATTATAGGACAGATGTTTAAAATGATTTAATGTTTATTTCAGAATCATTTGTCTATTTTGTAATCCTAATATTTATGGACTTACAAAATCTGTGTTCTCATGGACATGGTGGTGCATACCTATAATCCCAGCACTCTGGGAGGCTGAGACAGGAGGAGTGAAAGTTTGAGCCCAGTCTGGGCATTTAACAACTTAGCAAGACCTGTCTCACAATTTAAAAAGGTCTGGGGATATAGCTCAGTGAAGGGCCCTGTGTTCAATCACCAGTACTGGAAAAACAAACAAACAAACAAACAAACAAACAAACAAACACTATGATCTGAGAAAGAAAGAGTCTACAGCTCTTACTTGGATGTAAAGGATTTTTTTTCCCATTAACTTTATTGAAAATCAATAACTACATGTCATATTAAAAATTGCAGACAAATATTGAAATGTGAAAGATACAAGATGTAGAAGAGTGATTTCTAGAGAAATATTTCTTTTTTTTTTTAAATTATTTATTTAATTTTATTATTATTTATTTTGTGTGTGGCCAGCTCAGCCCACCAGGGGGCGGGGCTGGCTGGCATGTGGTGCTAGGGGATTGAACCGCGGTCCATGTGTTTTTGCTAAGCTTGTTCTAAGTAGGTGCCTTAGACCACTGAGCCATCTCACCAGCCCCTCTAGAGAAATATTTCTGAAATGAACACATCACATGAGATTAATAGATTGCACACTGTAAATAAATTATTTACAAATTTAAATGAATATAACAAAAACTGTCCAAAATAAAAATGAAGAAAGAAATCACAGATCAGTCATATAATAGTTCACTCTTTATCAAAATCAAGAAACTTATATTCATATAATTAGAATTCTCAAAGTAGAAAGGGGTAGGCAATAAATATTGAAAGATTTAAAATTTCTGAATTTAGTCGAACTTCTAACGCCATATTTCCAAGAGAAATGAACTTTTGCACAAGAAATTTGAATAAAATCATACCAAGATACAAAAAAATGAAATTGTCCAAAACTTATTGCAAAGAAAAAAATCATTAAATCATATACCTAGAAATATTAGCTATGGAAGAACAAAATTAAATAGCATCTTATTCCACATTAGAAAGAAAAAGAAAATACCAAGTGTGTAAGAAACTAGGCTAATTAAAGGACTGAAGGAAAGAAAAAAAAAATCTCTTCTCTGCATTTTATACTTAGCAAACATACCTTTGAAAACTAAAAGTAACATATTTTCCAGTTATACAAAATTGAAGTATTCTAATACCTTCAGATGTAGCATATAGGAAATAACAAAGAGAATAATTCAAAAGGTAAGAGAAGTTGCAGTGTGCTCCTGGATGAACAATAAACAGCTCTCAAAATGATAGTTATGCAGGACTATATAAAATATATTGGATGAACCCTTATTTAAAAGGTCATTAAAGATTTCTATGAAACAGTACCAATCTTATATCGGGTTATACTCATATTTTTCATATATATATGTGTGTGTGTATGCATGTATAAAAGACAGGGAAGAAGTAATATAAAGTCAATGGAAAATGGAAATATACTTTTTAAAGTTTTTAATACTAGAAGAAGATATCATACTATGTCTTTTAAGTAAATTGTAAGTCAAAGATACAGTATAAATCTTAAAACAAAAATTAAGATTAAGCAATATCCAGAAAATTAAATATTAATTAAAAATTAAATGTTTCAAAACAATTGAACTAAGAAAAAGTTTTCATGACAGTAAAGAGGTACTAAGAATAGAGCATAAGATAAATATTGGAATGGCAAATAAATGACCGACACTTCTAACAGTTTGGGGATAGGATATCACACAAAGTTCTAGTGTGTTGCGGACATGGATAATGTCCATGACACTTACTGGTGGCCAGGTGTCACTTGTGGGACTGAGCTACTGCTATTTCCTTGTAATCCACCCTGTAGACCCAGATTGAATCATGACCCACATGGTGCAGGAGAAGTCCATTTGTAGAGTGTGCTGATGGAAATATTTTGCTGCTGTACACAAAAGAATAACTGAAAGACTACTTTTGTATACCTCTTATTCTCCTGTGTTTGTTTGCCCTATTTGGTGGGTTCTTTCCATTCTCATTCATGGAGTTGTGATCATTTTGCTCCCTCTCTAGAACATCATTTAGTAGTCTGTGTAGGCTTGCCTTTGTCATCATGAAATTGTTAAATTGTTCTTTGTCATGGAAGTATTTCACTTCTCCATTATACTTGAAAGACAGTTTTGCAGGGTATGTCAGTCTGGGTTGGAATTTGTTTTCTTGCAAGACTTGAAGTACCTTGCTCCATGCTCTTCTTGACTTGATGGTTTGTGAAGAGAAATTTGCTGTTATTCTAATGGGTTTTCCTTTAAATGTGATCTGTTTATTTTCTTTAGCAGCTTTTAGTATACTGTTCCTGTGCTGAATTTCTGGGCTCTTGATTATTATATGTCTGGGTGTGGTTTTAATTGGGTTGAAGTTATTTGGAGTTTTATATGCTTCGGTTACTGAATGTCAGATTGTTTCCCCATATTTGGGCAGTTTTCTGCTATTACTTCTGTCCATATTCTTTTTATATCATTTGTATTGACTCCTTTCTTCTCATTGATGTCTATTAGTCTCACATTGTTCATCTTTGCATCATCTTGCAGGTATTGAATTATTTTTTCCTGCATCCTAGTTGTTTTTGAGATCTTTTCTTACTTTTTCACTAGCTGCAATG